TTTAATCACAAAATCTGTTTCTTCAAGATTGTTGGAAAATAAAAAATTGTAAACGACAGATTAAGAATGAGTTTCAACACATATACGTATTAAGAATTTGAAATTAGAAACTACAAACATCAACCACAGGAACGTGTGAAACCAGATTTCTATTAGTAAATAAATTTATTATAAAAATATACAACTTAACTGACAGTTCTATATTGCCATAGAACACACATAGCTGAATCACAGAAAATCTGTTTGCCTTGAACAAACAGACGCCTCGATGCTGTGCAACGAGTACTACGCCTTTTCTCTATAGATTAGACGACTCAAAGTGTAAAGACTGCACTATCTAACACACTCACCTCAACCAGAAGCTCAGCCGCCAAGAACCCTTAATATTTTTTTTTCTAAGTATTTGGAAGATGTAAGAAAATATAAGTATATGTTCCTTTTCTTTTCCTTCACTTGGTGTGTCTTCGTATGTCTCCCATGCACTATGTATATATTGTTTCAAAGTCATAAAATTCAAAGCATGAGAGATGCATTAATGACTTCATTAAGACAAGAGTAATGAACCTTTGAGTTTCATCACACTTTTCATCTTACTTTTCAAAACTGAACAAACACAAGTTCAGTTAAGGTTTGCCAAAATGATTTTGGACATTTACACATTTGTAATACTAAACACACCATTATATATAAGGATTCCCATAAAATACAATTTCTCTTTTTCATGTAATTCTTATTACAAACATAAACAACTTAGGGCTCCACTCATGCAAATTTCTAGATCCGCCTCTGCAAATCAGCGATGCTCGTGCAGAACATGTGGACAACGATTCCCGCAGGTTGGGCAATTAATCGGGCCGCCTCGTTTCTCACGTGGTCCTTGTAGCCGTCGATGTATCGAGTGATGAAAGAGACGAATGGGCCCGGCGGGTCCAGAGCTGTTGACTTTCGGGATGTCGACCAAGCGGATTCTTGGGTCAGAACCGTACGAGAATAGGAAGTAGTGGCTGGTTCGAACTGTGGCTTGATGAGAAACACAGTGGCCGAGAGGAGCGGGTCCCTGTGGATTAGGAGCTTCGCCATCTTGAGGGTTGACTGTAGGTGTCCCCTGTCTGGAGAAAGAATGAACACAAGCTCGACTCTTTTTTGGCCCTCCATTTTTTATTTTTTATTTTTCTTTCCTTTTTTCTTTGATTTGTTGAGAGAACACAAGTGAACTTGCCATGTTTTTATATTAGACGATCTCCAGCCCTTTACTATACTCTAGTACAGAGTTTACTCTACTCTAGAGTAGAGTAAGCCAAATATCTAATTTCATCTCCAGTCGTTCGCGCTACATTTTACTTTACATTAAATATATTATTTTTTTTATTTTAAATTCTAATATATATATATGTATATTTAATCTTATATTTTTTATTAATTCTAAAATCAAGTCTATAATATTTAAAATCATATGCCTAGAAAAATAAAAATAGTATATATTAATCTAATATAGATAATTTGAATCCTATAAATTAATATATATCCATGTTTAAAACTAAATAACATATTATTTATTAATACACATTATACAAAAAATTATCAATAATCTATATAAAATAATTCTAATAATATTGTATTAATGTCATTCACCAATCATCTATATAAAAAAAATTCTAATAATATTGTATTATTATCATACTTTATTAGTATATATTTTATCAAAATAATATTGTATAATGCATCATAAAAAGAAAAGGCAAATAAACACAAAAGGCACATTTAATACATAAAAATTACATTAAATGATACATTAAAATACATATAAAAAAACATAAAAATAACATTACGTATTACAATTAAAATACATAATATTAAAAAAAAAAATTAATGTGGCACGCGCTCAAATTGGCGCAATATTGTATATATCTTTGTTCCGACGTGACAGTTCAGCGCAGCATTGGAGATAATTTTTTCACTTTGGTTAAAATAGGTAATGTAGCGCCGGGTTGGAGATGGTCTTAGTGATGATGGCATCGGTTCATTGACTTTTTTTTTTTTACAACACAGCCTAAGATCTAATTTTTTTATTATTTGATATATTTTCTTTGTGGCATTTAAGATGGTGCTTCAAAGTTGACTTGTTTGAGGACCCATGAATGGAAAGTGCAGCCATTGTTCATTTGTTAGTGTTTTCATTTTACTTTTCTTATTGTGTCCTTCCGGGAGGACACAACAATTTTCTAAAGATCTGATCGAAAACTTCCTCTCTTTTATTATGCTGATTCATAACGTAAAACTTTGTGTAGGATACTTGTAATCGTTTAGTGCATTACACCACGAGAATAGCTCGAAAAAACAAATGTATACACGAACAGAACACACAAAAACGATGGTAAAAGGGTGGTATTTTCCTGTCGCCCGAGAGGGCCCGAATCGCGTGCGGCTAGAATTCAATCAGCTGCGAGGGTATGTTTTGGTGTCGACCAAGAGTTTCATGTCGATGATGGTGACCAAGAAGCGCGGGTCCCACTTCACACAGAGGTTCGCGGTTTGCACAGCGGCTGCCTTGTGGCCGAGTATGGGCAGAGGAATGAAGACTAGGTTGCTGATTAATTTTGTTCACTTGACATTTTTTTTTTTTTTCTAACAAAAAATGTCTTAACAGATATTATCAGGAAAAAGGAAATTAAATTGGATGGATCCCTACAATCCAGAAATGAAAAATGCAAACCCAACATAGAACAAACGGATACATTCCCAACTTTTACTCACCAGAATTAAACAAGAGCAGAAGAACTATAAACAGAATAGATCATAAAATCAAGAAATGTTCTCCAAAACGCTGTCGATAAAACGACCCAAGTAATCATACGACGAACCACCTTCCGACATGACAGCCCGACTCGTGCCGCTCAAAGCCCTCACCTTTGCCCGTCGGCCCTCATTCTCCGGTCCCATTAGCTCCTTCAAGGCCCTCTCTATCCTCCCGGCTGGCACAATCCCGTTGCAAGTCTTCATATTGTATTCCACCTTGATCTCGACCGCTATCCCGAGCTCCCTCACCAGCTGAAAAGCATTCGCTTGCTGCTCAGCGTAAATCGGCCACGCCGCCAACGGAACCCCAAACCACACGCTCTCGAGCACCGAATTCCACCCGCAATGCGAAACAAACCCCCCAACTGCCCGGTGTGCCAGCACTGCCACCTGTGGGGCCCACCCAATCACCTTCCCGAACCCTACAGTCCGCTTGATAAAACCTTCCGGAAGGACCTCCTTTGGATCATCGTACTCGCCTGGAAGCTCAAACTTTCCCTCGGGAGCCGGCTTTCTCAACGACCAAAGAAACCTCTGCCCGCTATTTTCGAGCCCCTCGGCGATTTCCTTCACTTGCTCGGCTCTGAACCACCCGGCGCTCCCAAAGCAGAGAAACACGACCGACGAGTCGGGCTGCCCGTCGAGCCACCTCATCACGACCTCTTCTTCGCGGCTAATTACTCCTCGTCCTCTGCCCCCCGACTCGATAATCGGGCCCACGGGATAAACCGGTGGGGTTGCCTTGTCTTCCGAGAGCGCGCGGATCGCGCGCGGCTCGAGCTCGAGGAATGTGTTGACGACTATCCCTTTCGCTCCCCTGAATTTCCTCGTGAAGTTCGACCAATTGCTTTCCTTCTCGAAGACTATCGTCGGCCACACCTTGGCGGGGACGGAGCTCGCGTAAATCGGGAAGGATAGTTCGAAATCCGTATTCTCGTAATTCGCGAGGTCCTTATTCTCCCGGTCGATAAACTCCTGGAGCCCGAACGAGAGTCCAAGGTTTGAGGCGTTGCCCGTGTAGAAAATGTAGGACGGCAGGCCGAGCTCGTGGGCCACGTCGATCATGGCCGTACAGAACATGTCGACCACGAAGCCCGTGACCCGGCCCGAATGTGGGCCCGAATCGTCGATTATTTTCATCACGGTGTCTCTAACCGGGCCCTTCTGGCTTTCTGGGTAGTGGACGGTGAAGGAGTTTGGGTTCGTGCTACAGTTGGCGAAGCTTTGCTCGTCCGGAGGAAGCTCAACGAACCTTATCCTGGGGTGGTGGTCGGGAGTGGTGGTTTTGGTGTCGACCGGGAGCTTCATGACGATGATGGTGGCCGTGAGGCGCGGGTTCCAGTCAACGAGGAGGCCGGCGGTTAGCACGACGGCAGCTTGGTGGCTGAGAATGGGGAAAGGGATGAAGATTAGGTTTGCTGGGTTTTGTGAACTTGTTGCCATTATTTACTTTCAGTTTAATTTTGGTAAGTTGAGAGAGGGTTTTAGTAAAAGGGGAAGTAATAATTTTGCCACAAAGGGTCTTCTTGATATAAACTTGCAGACCTCATGGTAGGCTTGTAATACTTTCATTTCATCAAATAAAAAAAAAAAAAAAAAAAA